TGTTTAGCCTATTTATTATCATTTAAACAACAAAAAGTGCGTATGAAAGTTCTAATCACAGAAACTAGGTAATTCACACAATACGTGCATGTTTATCGTCGCTATGAAACTAAATAATATGCAACAGAAATGGGAAAGTGGGGAATGTGTTTACAAATCAACATTAATCCAGACTTATTTACTAGAAATGTTAATCTGGAATATCATAAACATAAACATGTTTATACCACCTTCTCTTCGTGTAGTGTATAGCAATAGAAAAAATTGATTTCCTTGAAGAATCATTACTAGATCTGTGATATACTGCTACAAGAATTTTAGAGTGTAGATTAAATCAATATGATGCTAATGGAAATAATGAGATTGATTGTAAGCACCTACATCTTCAATGCGTTCGAATTATCTCCTATATGGAATTATATTTGTATCATGTAAAATTCTTGTTGTAGTATAATTTTCTTCAATAAATAACCGCTTAATTAAAGCGAAAACAATATTTGAATTGATTCCGTTTCATCGTTATTAACATTTACAAATAAAATTGTTTGTTGTTCTGTGTGTGTTTATGATGTTAATCGGTCTGTTATATGTACATATAGTAAATAAACATCTGTTTGAAGACGTGATTACTAATAATTTCCAACGATTAAATATTTATTTAATATTTGTACCGGCCATTCCACCGTGTTCGTTATTATTTGAGGTACCTATAATAATAATAGAATTTCAAATATTTGTGAAAGTTTTATCAACCAAACATAGTCCATACCTTTGCCCACAATTCTGTAGATAGCATTCGTTCTATATGTTATTGTCTAAAGTGAGAAATTATACTATTATTTAACGCTAGTATAACATACATTTTTCCAAGTAAAAACCCACTAAAGTATTCTAAAACCCACATGCATCTAAGTATATATATCAAGCTGTAATATAACAATTCTTTTGAATTGCAAAGCATAATTAATAATACGTGACCGCTTGCACCAATCGGTGCATCCGTCAGTGTGCTATCTTATCAAAATAAGGAAACTGAAATGACTAAGTCATTAGGTATACTGTGCATGTTTACAATAAATTTTATAATAACGTAATCACAGAAATGAAACTGGAAGGAAAAATACAGGGAGGTCAATCATTTTTTTTTTAAGAATTAGACAGGATTTCAGAAGAAAATACATGTAGGATTGCAGCAAGGGTTTGTACATCGATTTAACTGTATTTCTGAAGAACAAAATAAATATACACTATTAGTAATTCCATGTCCATGCTCATGTGGTGGCATCTCAATTTTTTTGTGTAAAGAAATGACTACATAGTATGTTATGTAGATATATCTACGTAATTAGTTGATTGGTCAAGGATAATACTGCTAGCTGTTGTGTTAAGGCTACGAAGTCTAATTAAAATTCATCACGAAACAATAGACCACATGACCGTAACATATCACCAATTCCAAAAAGTGTCAGATACGCCGAAGGATTTACCTTTACTTGAAAATAGTTTTTAATTTTCAACGGAAAAAGTCTAATTTCAAGTTGAAAACTCGTCAATAATAATGAATTTGCTAGATATGAGAAGGTTAAATGCAAATCGTATTGGGTACATGTAAACTACAACCCAAAGGACCCGGGTTCGATCCTCGGCGAGGGTGTAACAGTAGCGACAATTTTTCCTTATTGATTTGAGGCAACGGATAAAAATTAAATGAATTTTCACGTTAACATTGCAAACTTCATATACAATTAGTTAGTTTTTTTTTTCATCATCATCATCATCATAAGGTCGTCAGTCCTAAGACTGATTGGACACGTACCTCCACTGTTTTCTATCCTGAGCTAATCTTCGCATTTTCCTAAAACTAGAACAGCCCACATCTTTAACTATTTACGAACAGTAATCTAATCTAGGTCTACCTCTACCCCTCTTAACTCCTGTTTCTGCCTCTAATATGTCTCTGACTACACCTTCATGCCTGAGAAGGCGTCCTACCAAACTATCTCGCCTATTTTTTATTGACTTCCATAGAGTCCTTTTTAACCTTTTCTACCCACGTTATCCTCGTTTTTTTTTTTTATGGTAAAATTAAGTTTTAAGTTAAATTAATGTAAAATTAAGTTTTTATGGTAAAATTAAGTTATCCACCAGAAAAGTCGCGGTTTATTAATTTTTTATTTGACCATGACCGCTGGTAGCAGTAACACAGCTTCTAATTTTTAGTGGTGCACATAAAAGCGTAGTATATGTTGTTGTTGAATGACGTTCTGCTCATAAAGAATTCTATTTGGCCATCTTCCAATTGTTTCTTGTCTCGTTCGCGATAAAAAGGCATGTAGAATGAACAGGGGATCGCGACATAAAAAACTTCACCTCATTAACATTATTAATGTACATTATAACCGGTTAAACAATGTTGTTTCACTCTGGCTTTGTGCCGAGAAGGTGTGAAAACCGTGTTGCCGCTAACTTAATTTTTACGCTGTCATTGGATTGCCAAAATTTTATGGATCTTTTTATTACTACGTAAAATATTTTTTGGTCACCTCCAGTACAATTGTATCGCCCATTGTTTATAAAAACAATTTAGAAACGATTAAAATCATTATTAACAAAACACATCCAGCAAAACATTTTTTTGGATTTAAATAAGCAAATTTTGTTATCCAAATTAGCAAGTTATTGTTATTAATTTTGTTATATTCAGGTATAATGTATTATACAATATGATATATGAAAAAATATTGATGTTGGAGCATCTCTTTCCTGATAGTTTGTAACGTTTTTCTCAGTTTGTCTAAATTTTAATTAATTATAATGTTGTTATATGATGAAACCTAACGAAATTTGTTTTATAAAAATAAAGGATTAGTGTAGTCTGTCAAAATTGTAATTTTTGACAGGTGTTAATTTGCTAATGTATCCAGGTTGTTAAAGACTATGAATACTACAAGAAGCCCAGGTAAGTCTACTGATTCCTTTACATAAACAGCTAGATGCTGCAGCAGTTAAAAACGATATAAACCATCTTCGCCTCGAAAGTAGTAATGATAATTCTATGAAAATATATTACCTACCAAGGTATAAAAACCCATATAATCTGTATAATTGTCTTTACATTATTATCGTCAATTAATTTTTATACAAGCAACATGCACATTTCTATAAAGTTTTTAAAATTTTGTGTTCCAAGAACTTTTAAAAAACCGAGTGTAGTGGACATTTCTTAGAACGTTCTGAATGCATCAAGAAGAAATTAAAAATAACCCCTTAAACTACCGGCAAACATTTATGATCAAAGGACATAATCATGAAAGCAATCTTTTAGTTATTGCTGTAAATGATTAAAAGATGGAATAAAAAATCACCAGAAAAAGTAAAATCTCATGGTACTTCAATAATAAATACTCTTTTTGGACAAAATAAGTCTTCCTCTTCTAGGAATTTATGAACTTTTTCGAATCATAAATTCTTAATGTCGTATACTTTTCAAAATGCTATCTAAAACAAATACGTCCGCCAAATCCAAAATACCAAAAGTAACAATGAAAACGTAAAATCCTAGAAGAGCATTATTCAGGAGATGGTAGAGAAGTGCCTAGGCAATTCATAAATTACAATTTTCGCATTAGTTTCGCATAATACGACATTGCACATAGCATACGTGTGTATGAGATGACCTAAATTCGCGATGATTTACGTAAGGCAAAACATAATAAATTGTTTACGAAACCATTAGGAAAGGCGTATAGCGGTTGGTCGATCGTTGAGATCCAAATCCTTGCCTCCAAGTTCCTTATCTTCGCCTCATTGGCCTACTAAAGAAATACGCCGGAACATCCTCTCATGTATGCTTACTACCTTCTCTATATCCCCCGATCATCAGTAAAACTGTTTACAAAACTGAACGCGATCAAACTTTTATTTTCCTGCCCGAAAACAACCAAAAATAATAAACGAATTGTTGCGAACTGTTGAATAGCCAAGTGTTTTCATATCCGTTTTGCAAAAACAATAAATTACTAATGAATTATCCTTAAATCGTCCTGCGTAATTACTTACAAAGAATTCGTATACACTAGAAATTGTTAATTTTTTTTTCTTGAACACCAGGGAATTAAATACTAATGTCAGTCCCGTTAAATCTTGAAAAAGTTATTATATAAATCGTTAAAGTAGAAGCAGTTTTTGGTTTCCGCTGTTATGCCATCACCATCGCTTACAATCATTAAATCCGACAATCATAAAGATATTCACTAAAAGCTAGTATAACTATGAAAATCTATCTGTTATATTTGCAATCACTTAGATTCGCTTCATTGACGTCCAGAATCATTCTGTGGCATTAATGTCCATAGTCATTGCAAATACTATTGCACTTGCTTATAATATATGACATCAATGGATGAATCTTTAAAGAATCATTGTGAGTAGGTGCTCACAGTGTACCCTTCTCACTGACGTGTACGACGATATTTGAGTTCGTCATATACCTTAGCTAATATCTAGATAGATAAAAATTTAATTTCAACTCACCATTAAGCAGAATATTCGTTTGTTATCATCACCAACACATCCGTTCCACTGGTCGTTCATCAACATCTGCAAAAAAGACAGAAATGAGCTACTTATTGTAGTGGAGCCTTTTTAAATATTACAATTGTTTAGTTCCACCTCAAGATTAGAGACCAAAAATTTTATTATCTAAACACAAATAACCTGGATATTAATAGGAGATCTAGGGTGCAATTCAATTCTTTAAACTAGATCTAGGATGCAACTCAATTCTTTAAGCTAGATCTAGGGTGCAATTCAATTCTTTAAACTAGATCTAAGATGCAACTCAATTCTTTAAACTAGATCTAGGGTGCAATTCAATTCTATAAGTTAGTTCCAATATGTGATGTTATGAGAGGAGATAGATCCTTAATGAAGTCAGTCGGATGACATTTTACATAATTCTAAAAATTTAACAAAACTTAATTTGTTTAATTCTGTTACAGTTCCATTACTTGCAAACGGGGTTCCTAACGAAGAAGATGTCCGACCGGGCACAGATTGTTTCATCAAGTGCCCCCAATGCCAAAAAAGCTGTCAGACATTTCAGTCTCTCAAGGAGCACATGGAGGTGGCGCACGCTGACGGGAACATAGCCCTAGAGAACGGCGTAGGACTCTCCCTGCCCAGTGCATCACCCACGCCAAGTCTCACGCCCGGAAACGGAGGTCCTTACGGCTGCTCCCAGTGCACCACCTCCTTCGGTACCAAAGATCAGTTGGAAAAACATGAACTTTTGCACTCGCCAAACGCACAAGTGGTAAGTGTAAGTCATCACTTATTTTTTTTAACCCTATAGCATTTTTGCGATTCCTACAGTAAGTCACTGCCCAAATCGAAGATGATTAATATCAACCAAGCGGCAGATTACCGCCATCTGCCGTTAACTTCAATATTTCATTCATAGATTTGCGCACTTTACATCGCATCCTAGATTAATCTAGGGCTAATAGGTCTATTTACGGTTAAGGGTTAAACTGAAGCCACAATTAGTAGCAACGCTGTTTAAGGGCTGCAAGTAAATTGGCGTGATGCTGAGATCCAAAGTAGTGATGGTTTTTTTTAGCAAACTAGTTCTCGATAACTAGTTCCCCAATACGAACTAGTTCTTTAAAATATGAAATCTGAGTTCTGGAATTGGAATTGGAAGTGAACGATAATTTTGGTAATTCTTTTTGATATTTACGAAATAGTTCGCCAAAAAGAATCGTTCTTTTTAATAATTAATTGACTAGTCCAAAGATATCACTGGCTTTTGTGTCAGTTTGATGATTTATAAAAACCAGCTATGATGGGATTAGAAAAATAAGTTCGAACCTCTGCTAAACGCCTTCCGAATCGTCTAGGGTTACTTGGAAACGTCATTAAAATTTCTAGACATGTGTGATCAAGTTTGTATCATCCATATCCCAGGTTATTACGCGTAGATCTAAGGTCTAAATTACAAGTAGTATACCACTTGTGTAATTAATACTCCGCTGTTCGTTGTTTTTTATTTCGCGCGTCTGTGTAACACTAACCTTGCCTGGCGTCGATGTTTTTCCAACAGAAAATGGTAATTGTCCCTATCCCGTTTCCTTAAATAGGACTGCGTTTCTGTTTCTTTGTCGTACTAATAAAAAACTGGGAGTCGACACTCCTGAAGGAAGAAACATTTGTTTTGTAGGGGCGCGAACGCATGTACATACGTATTGTCACAAAAAAAAAGAGTAATGTGCATGAGATGAGCCTAATGGTTTTTTAAATGAACAACTGGATCGTCATTAACACGCATAAGGTTAAACTGAAACCTTACAAACATGTGGTCTTTAAAATTATCAATGCGCAAGCAGAGACAAATGCTGCGTGTGCGAATTCCCTGTCTCGATAACGTGTTTTTATTTTTCAAATCCTTTATCATATTTAACAGACCTTTTTCTGAATAAATACTGGTATGCAAGGGAAGGAAATGTAGGGAAAGAGCGAATATAATGATATGAGACAAAAATTAGAAGAAGTGGCCGATTTTAGGTATCTAAGAAATCAGATAAGTCAGGACGGAAGGAGTAGTAAGGATATAAAGCAGAGGATAGCGCAGGGTCGAGTCGCCTTCAATAAAAGGAAGTCGAAACATGTGGTGTTACAGGCGAACGATGAGGTACCGTGGATAGAGAAGGTTTGAAATGAAGAGATATTAGAAAGAATAGGAGAACAGAGGACTCTATGGAAATCAATAAAAGGCGAGATAGGTTTGTAGGACACCTTCTCAGGTATAAAGGTCTAGTCAGAGATATATTAGAGGCAGAAACGGGAGTTAGGAGGGATAAAGGTAGGCCTATATTAGATTACTGTTCGCAAATAGTTAAGGATGTGGGTTGTTCTAGTTTTAGGGAACTGCGAAGATTAGCTCAGGATAGGAAAGAGTGGAGGTACGTATTCAACCAGTCTTAGGACTGACGACCTTGTGATGATATGTAACCAACTATACAACCGAGTAGAGACATTTAGACCCGCTTTTCTTTTGTCATTGTTTATTTCCAACAAATGTTACTGCTTTTTCTCTTGTGGTTGTTAATCTATCATCATCATAGAGTCGTCAATCTTAAGACTGATTAGACTCCTGTATCTGCTTCTAATATATCTCTAACTGGTCTGAGGAGTTGTCCTACCAATCTGTTTCGCCTTTTTCATATTCACTACTATTATCTTCTCCTATTTTTTTTTTTTGACGATTATAGGAGTATGTTCACGACTTTTGCTTACAACTGTACGTCCAATTACATGGTATTAAGACGGAAAACTGTAATATACAAGACGCCATGTTGTTTACCGTCTAGCGAGCGCACTTTCGTGAGAAAGTCATAATTCGAAACAATAATGACCATAATGGCAATGCGCGCAGCAAACTCGGTGTCCAAATTAAAAGGCCAACTGGCAATGTAACTGCTTTACACATAAAGTCAACGCCCTTTTTAATTAAACTTATCTACTCATCGTCCAAGGTTTATTATTGACTAGTTAAATACTTGACATCGTGAAGTGAAAAGGTTAGCGTGGGGTTAAGATCAAATGGATGAATTGACGTAACAAGAAAGAAGCATTCGGCAAACGACAACGATTTTATACAGTAATACACAAATAAAAACAGCTTTACAGCTTTACAGAATAGAATTTCCCAGTTATCGTCACGCACCTACAGTTTTCTTGCAAAGTTCGAGTTGTACATGGAGATGACAGATAAATTGTTACAAGCTGCGTGCGCAACCTATGTCGTCACCAATAGATGCCGTTATGGGGGATGTTCAATTCGTTCACATTCAACTATTTTGCTATTATTACGGTCACTATTTTGCGTATTACATTGTACATTTGTTAACAAAAATTCATTGTAAGGATGGATGGCCTAGAGACCGCTGAGTTATTAGTGTTATAACGAACCTTGTTCTTAATTATACAAAAACGGTTTCGAAATTAATGGTTGTTCGATAAGAGCGGCACTATCGTTTATTTGGCACTAATTTGCCCGTTCGTTGTGCTCTCGCTTCCTGGTGGTTGACCTCCTTAACAAATCATCAGAGAGTGCTGCGACTGCTGTCGCTTGTTTAATAAACACCTAATGGATTCTAGATAAACGGTTTCAATTAAACATCACGCCGTTTACGTAACTGTCTGTACGCATTTACACTTAGGAATAAACCGAATTTCGTAAGATCGTAATTATTTTAGATACCATAAGTACCTAACTATAAAAAGGAATAGATAATAGAAAAAAGCCCCTATAACAAGGGCAGTAATCACCCTTGGTTGTACCTATTCATTGTTACATAAAAACTAAAGCAACACATAGGAGCTAAGACAGTACTATACCATATTTTTCATGAGACCTAGGTTCATATCATTCTAAATTACCTCTACCAGCGATTTACATACATATATACTACTTCAGAATTGCTACTAATTACGTAACTGCTCATGTATCTACAGTTATCGATGATTATAGAAATAGAAAAATACATTTTCTCCATTTAGAAGTAGATTTGAATCTACAAAATCTTCATAACTTCTATAAATCAATAGGTAGAGGTAATTTAGAATGAAATAAACCTTACCCTTTCTGAATTACCTATGTATACACGTTTTTATAGGCATGACTAACATTCTAGGATATTTTCAGTAGAATTACTGAATGTAACATAATAGCAAGACCTCTAGTAATGAATTAACAAACAAACAAATACAAAATAAAAACCGATTTTCTTGCACAATGCGTTAGAAAAAAACAGATAGTGTTGTTGGGGTTATTGGCCCATCGTGTACTTCTGTCGTCAACCCCTTCCAATAGTGTGGATGCAATAATTAATAGCAGTGTTATTAGTAAAGGGTATGTTACACGTTCGTTAGTTATTTTAATAAACAAATGGTAGTGTTGAATGACATCGGGATCCGTCGCGGTAACGAAAAGGAACGCAATTGAATGTTACAAAAAGCGAACAGTGGCAACATGTGCTTCGCTACAGACCGTGTGAAAGGACTAACCTCCTTCTTCTGACATCAAAAAATGATCCAGGGCCAATGGCTCTGGATAGATTTACGTTATACATGTTACAACAACTGCGGAAATGAAAATCGCGTTGAAAACAATCGCTTACGATAAACTATTATCAAAGTATTTTTGTAACAAAATAATAAGTACTTAGATAATGTTAGCTAATTAATTTGAGGATTAGTGACATCATACTTAATTAAAATCAAACTCTTGAAGATAATACAATCTGAGTTTTACCTTTTACCAATTTAAACTACTGAAAATATACATACGTGCTATTAAAAAATGGTCTTGGTGCATTGATTGTAGTCGTTTGGCATATTATATGTAGCTGTGTTAGTTTCGTTTGGTTTGGTTTGGCGTAAACTAGCGATCGACATTTAATATAAACAAATGCGTTCGTGTAATTCTAGTTTTATTAATGTGCGGCTACGTTCTCAAGTAAAGCAATTCTGCTGTGTTAACTTCTTGTATACAAGTACAATAAACGTCGTGTAAACAAACAATACTGACAAGCACTTATGTCCCAGCCAGTAAATCACATAAAACTGGGTTAAGCACGTGTAATTTTTTCTAAAATTCTATAAATCAAACAAACGTTCTAAATTTGTTCGAAATATTCGAAAGTACACGCAATAGTACGTAAACATTAAGTGTAGGTAAATAAGGATTGCATTTTTGCACTCCCTTCTTGATCATTTCAATCCCAAATACATAAATATTAAATACATAAATGCAATTATAATATTCGATTAATATGTATAATAAAAGTAAGTATATATAGTTTGTCCCTATGTGCCGTTAAATCTTCGGGGTTAAAAGCTACTGCCCTAAACGAGTCCTTATGGTCAGTAAAGGTGTTAATTGAGTTCCGGTGTCCAATCAGAACCTTACAGAATGTCACAACCTCTACAATCTAAAGAGTTCGAAAATGTTTTAGAATTTTCTAGAAAGTTCGAGAACGTTCCTGAAAGTTCGAGAATGTTTCCGGATAATACACATTTTCCGAGGTTAGAGAAGTTAGAAGTTTTGAGAATGTTCCGGAATGATACGAAAGTTATAGAATATTCTACAACATTCACGAACATTATGAAATAGTTTTTCTTGAACAAAGGGAGGGAAATCCGGCTTGTAAAAATAAAAATAACAATAATAAGTACCCCTGCTCATAGTTAACCAGTGAAAACTTGAGAAGACCGGGAAATAATAATAGTAATAATAGTATTTCCGATCACTATTGTTAATTTTTTGTTACAGGCATGTAAAATTTGTAATAAAACATTCGCAAATGTTTATCGTCTACAACGACATATGATCAGCCACGACGAAAGTGCTGTCCTACGAAAATTCAAATGTACAGAATGTGATAAAGCCTTCAAATTCAAACACCATCTCAAGGTAAGGCGTAAATTAATTTTGCGTTTAGTTATGTATGCTACAAGGACGCGTTATTAATTAGATATCGGACCTAATAGTTATAAACATTTGTAATTGTTGAGCGTTTTGTTCCAGGAACATATACGAATACACAGCGGTGAAAAACCGTTCGAATGCGGAAACTGCGGGAAAAGATTTTCGCATTCCGGTTCTTATTCTAGTCACATGACATCGAAAAAATGCCTAGTGATGAATCTCAAGTTGGGGAGGACGCGCGGTCCGCCTCCGAATTCCCTCATCGATAAAAATAGAGTTCACAAAAGGCCTTCTAACAGTTCTTTAAACAATAACATCGCAACAAGTCCGAATCACAACACGTACTTGCCAATGCTGGACAAATTTAGCGAAGCCGCCGCCACAGCATTTTTACAAAATTCAATGGCTTCCACCCCAAGAATGCATCCCTTCTATATAACCTCGCCTAACATGCTTAGTTCTTCCGGGGTTGCAATAAGTCCCTATTCGTTACCGTACATTCTAGAACAGCTCCAAGGAAACTCGCCGCATAGACCTCCAGCATCCACGGAACCGGAACTAAAACTGAACGATTCTATACAGAGAAGTGCCTCACCCCCGTCCAATTTGGGCGGAATCGACGATCAACCGGGAGGTCCGAAATCCAACGCTTCATCTTGTGGAGATCTAGTAATGGACGAAGGTGACGACAACAACAAGGTTGAATCTCGTGATACGCCAAAGCCTAACCAATGTTACGACAGCGGGAGTGATTTCGAAGCGGTGAAAAGAATTTTAGAGACGGTTAACGTCACAGTGACCAAACAACTACTCCAAGCAAACATGCAAAAATACTCAGAAACTAATACCAACGAATCTCAACAACGATCTGACGAGGAAACCAAAGAGAACATTTTTTGTTCAACGTGCAAGCAATCGTTTAATAATCAGGACGAGTTGGACGAGCACCTGTGCGACCAAACAGAAGTGAAAAGCGAAGGACTGGCGGCTAAATTAGAAGAGGCTGTCGGCATAAAGTCGGAAGAAGGACAAAATGGAAACCTCAGTTGTACGGACGAAGATCAGGATTATGATAAACACGAAAAACTCTGTGATTACGAAATGGATTGCGAATCGGTTACAACGAGTGATCATGTGTCCGAAGATGGTAGGAAGGTGAGAGTTCGATCGCTCATAGCTGACAAACAACTTCGGGTTCTGAAAGATCATTACACTTTAAATCCACGGCCAAAGCGCGAAGAACTCGTTAAAATTGCCGAAAAGATAAACTTTCCTGTTCGGGTGGTGCAAGTGTGGTTCCAAAATACAAGAGCGAGAGATAGAAGGGAGGGACGAATGGCGAACATACCTTACAGTTTGGGCAGTACCATACAACATAGACTTCCTCCAGTGTTTGTGCCTTCAAACCAACAACTAACTAACCAAACAACTTCATACTCGTTACTACCTTCGCCTCACTACCCGATGGAGCAACCCCTGGATCTCTCAACGAAAAAAAGTACCCATTCAGTAACTTCATCTCCCGCTACCTCACCCCAAAGACCGACTTCTTCTAACCACCATTCCGATTCGGGTGAGGAAGCCGTGAACTTAAGTTGTAAATCTTCTCGGAGCCCCACCCCTGTCCAACAACCTCTTCAAAACCATTACCAAAACTCCAACTCATCTTCCGACATTCAAAGAACACCATCCCCTATGGACTTCAACAATGGAAGTAAACTGGCACGGATCCTTGCCCAGCCAGCCGAACTTGGAATGCCCTCCATGGGACTGGTTCGTATAGAGGGGTTGATTCAAATGGGAGCGTCCGAATTGCCCAACCTTTCGCAACTGTTAAGCAATCGACTGTCCAGAATGAGCCCTGGATCAGAGAAGAACTTGTGGGTGGAAGATAACGAACCCATGATCGCTCACGATCTCAGCCAGGACGAGAAGAAAATGAAACCGATATTGAAGAATTTGGGCAGCCCTAGTCTTGGTGCTTCCGGTGGGGAAGTTGAAGGACAATTTTCCTGTGATCAATGTGATAAAGCATTCTCTAAACAGAGTTCTTTAGCTCGACACAAATACGAACACTCAGGTAAATATCATCAATCTAATTTGATTTGATTGATTTTCAATTCTGGTGTTTCAATAGATTGTAAAAATGTTAACGTAAAACTTGTAACGTTTTGAATATTGTTTGTTACAGGCCAGCGTCCACACAAATGTCACGAGTGCCCAAAAGCATTCAAACACAAGCATCATCTGACAGAACACAAGAGATTGCATAGCGGGGAGAAGCCATTTCAATGTTGTAAGTGTCTCAAAAGATTTTCTCACTCGGGCTCTTATAGTCAGCACATGAACCACCGGTATTCTTATTGCAAACCTTACAGAGAATAAAACGAAGTTTGACGTAGTTAGAAAACAAAAAAAAAAAAGAAACATTTATAAAGTCGTTCGATTATATTGAATATTATCGATTTCCAATACAGCTACGCATGCGCTTGGAAGTGTACAAAAAAAAAAACAATTAATAGCCATGTTCGAATATTGCAAATATGCCAAATGTTTATGCCAAACTATATTGTAAATAAACAATGCGAGAGCAAAAAAAGAGAATATATAAATTAGATATCG